CTGAGTACTTCTACTTTTACTCAAGTACAAGATCTGAGTACTTCTACTTTTACTCAAGATCTGAGTACTTCTCCTTTTACTCAAGTACAAGATCTGAGTACTTCTACTTTTACTCAAGATCTGAGTACTTCTACTTTTACTCAAGTACAAGATCTGAGTACTTCTACTTTTACTCAAGATCTGAGTACTTCTACTTTTACTCAAGTACAAGATCTGAGTACTTCTACTTTTACTCAAGATCTGAGTACTTCTACTTTTACTCAAGTACAAGATCTGAGTACTTCTACTTTTACTCAAGTACAAGATCTGAGTACTTCTACTTTTACTCAAGTACAAGATCTGAGTACTTCTACTTTTACTCAAGTACAAGATCTGAGTACTTCTACTTTTACTCAAGATCTGAGTACTTCTACTTTTACTCAAGTACAAGATCTGAGTTACTTCTACTTTTACTCAAGATCTGAGTACTTCTACTTTTACTCAAGTTACAAGATCTGAGTACTTCTACTTTTACTCAAGATCTGAGTACTCTCCTTTTACTCAAGTACAAGATCTGAGTACTTCTACTTTTACTCAAGTACAAGATCTGAGTACTTCTACTTTTACTCAAGATCTGAGTACTTCTACTTTTACTCAAGTACAAGATCTGAGTACTTCTACTTTTACTCAAGATCTGAGTACTTCTACTTTACTCAAGTACAAGATCTGAGTACTTCTACTTTTACTCAAGATCTGAGTACTTCTACTTTTACTCAAGTACAAGATCTGAGTTACTTCTCCTTTTACTCAAGTACAAGATCTGAGTACTTTCTACTTTTACTCAAGATCTGAGTACTTCTACTTTTACTCAAGTACAAGATCTGAGTACTTCTACTTTTTACTCAAGATCTGAGTACTTCTACTTTTACTCAAAGTACAAAGCTAGCCTACTTTACTCAAGATCTGAGTACTTCTACTTTTACTCAAGTACAAGAATCTGAGTACTTCTCCTTTTACTCAAGTTACAAGATCTGAGTACTTCTACTTTTACTCAAGATCTGAGTACTTCTACTTTTACTCAAGTACAAGATCTGAGTACTTCTACTTTTACTCAAGATCTGAGTATTTCTACTTTTACTCAAGATCTGAGTACTTCTACTTTTACTCAAGATCTGAGTACTTCAACTTTTACTCAACATCTGAGTACTTCTACTTTTACTCAAGTACAAGATCTGAGTACTTCTACTTTTACTCAAGATCTGAGTACTTCTACTTTTACTCAAGTACAAGATCTGAGTACTTCTACTTTTACTCAAGTACAAGATCTGAGTACTTCTACTTTTACTCAAGTACAAGATCTGAGTACTTCTACTTTTACTCAAGATCTGAGTACTTCTACTTTTACTCAAGTACAAGATCTGAGTACTTCTACTTTTACTCAAGTACAAGATCTGAGTACTTCTACTTTTACTCAATATCTGAGTACTTCTACTTTTACTCAAGTACAAGATCTGAGTACTTCAGTGATTTGATCATCAAAGGTAGGCCTGAGTCATTTGATCATCAAAGGTAGACCTAAGTGATTTGATCATCAAAGGTAGGCCTAAGTGATTTGATCATCAAAGGTAGACCTAAGTGATTTGATCATCAAAGGTAGGCCTAAGTCATTTGATCATCAAAGGTAGACCTAAGTGATTTGATCATCAAAGGTAGGCCTAAGTGATTTGATCATCAAAGGTAGACCTAAGTGATTTGATCATCAAAGGTAGACCTAAGTGATTTGATCATCAAAGGTAGGCCTAAGTCATTTTCAATGTGGGCCGCCGTGCCGACTTCATTCATTTGTAATTGTTACTTGGCTGTGGGTGCCCTGTCATGATAGGTGTTTATATAAATGGTGTTGTTTTGTGTGGTAGAGGATCGCTGTCATTTATGCGTTTTGCACCCCGGGCCGTTGTTCTGATATTCCACTGAAGTATACGCTGTGACGTAATAACTCTTCTTTTTTCTCTTTTTTTTAGGGAAGGGGGGGTCAGAGGGCATAGGTACAAAAGTCACGGCTCGCCACTGCTTTTCACTGCTTCACTGAACTGTTCTAACAGCTGTTCACCAGCTGAACTGTTCTAACAGCTGTTCACCACCTGAACTGTTCTAACAGCTGTTCACCAGCTGAACTGTTCTAACAGCTGTTCACCACCTGAACTGTTCTAACAGCTGTTCACCAGCTGAACTGTTCTAACAGCTGTTCCGCAGCTGAACTGTTCTAACAGCTGTTCACCAGCTGAACTGTTCTAACAGCTGTTCACCAGCTGAGCTGTTCTAACAGCTGTTCACCAGCTGAACTGTTCTAACAGCTGTTCACCAGCTGAACTGTTCTAACAGCTGTTCACCAGCTGAGCTGTTCTAACAGCTGTTCACCAGCTGAACTGTTCTAACAGCTGTTCACCAGCTGAACTGTTCTAACAGCTGTTCACCAGCTGAACTGTTCTAACAGCTGTTCACCAGCTGAACTGTTCTAACAGCTGTTCACCAGCTGAGCTGTTCTAACAGCTGTCCACCAGCTGAGCTGTTCTAACAGCTGTTCACCACCTGAGCTGTTCTAACAGCTGTTCACCAGCTGAACTGTTCTAACAGCTGTTCACCACCTGAGCTGTTCTAACAGCTGTTCACCACCTGAGCTGTTCTAACAGCTGTTCACCAGCTGAACTGTTCTAACAGCTGTTCACCACCTGAGCTGTTCTAACAGCTGTTCACCAGCTGAGCTGTTCTAACAGCTGTTCACCACCTGAACTGTTCTAACAGCTGTTCACCACCTGAACTGTTCTAACAGCTGTTCACCACCTGAACTGTTCCAACAGCTGTTCACCAGCTGAGCTGTTCTAACAGCTGTTCACCAGCTGAGCTGTTCTAACAGCTGTTCACCAGCTGAACTGTTCTAACAGCTGTTCACCAGCTGAGCTGTTCTAACAGCTGTTCACCACCTGAACTGTTCTAACAGCTGTTCACCAGCTGAGCTGTTCTAACAGCTGTTCACCAGCTGAGCTGTTCTAACAGCTGTTCACCAGCTGAACTGTTCTAACAGCTGTTCACCAGCTGAGCTGTTCTAACAGCTGTTCACCACCTGAACTGTTCTAACAGCTGTTCACCACCTGAACTGTTCTAACAGCTGTTCACCAGCTGAGCTGTTCTAACAGCTGTTCACCAGCTGAGCTGTTCTAACAGCTGTTCACCAGCTGAGCTGTTCTAACAGCTGTTCACCACCTGAACTGTTCTAACAGCTGTTCACCAGCTGAGCTGTTCTAACAGCTGTTCACCACCTGAACTGTTCTAACAGCTGTTCACCAGCTGAACTGTTCTAACAGCTGTTCACCAGCTGAACTGTTCTAACAGCTGTTCACCAGCTGAACTGTTCTAACAGCTGTTCACCAGCTGAGCTGTTCTAACAGCTGTTCACCACCTGAACTGTTCTAACAGCTGTTCACCAGCTGAGCTGTTCTAACAGCTGTTCACCACCTGAACTGTTCTAACAGCTGTTCACCAGCTGAGCTGTTCTAACAGCTGTTCACCAGCTGAGCTGTTCTAACAGCTGTTCACCACCTGAACTGTTCTAACAGCTGTTCACCAGCTGAACTGTTCTAACAGCTGTTCACCACCTGAACTGTTCTAACAGCTGTTCACCAGCTGAACTGTTCTAACAGCTGTTCACCAGCTGAACTGTTCTAACAGCTGTTCACCAGCTGAGCTGTTCTAACAGCTGTTCACCACCTGAACTGTTCTAACAGCTGTTCACCACCTGAGCTGTTCTAACAGCTGTTCACCACCTGAGCTGTTCTAACAGCTGTTCACCAGCTGAACTGTTCTAACAGCTGTTCACCACCTGAGCTGTTCTAACAGCTGTTCACCACCTGAGCTGTTCTAACAGCTGTTCACCAGCTGAACTGTTCTAACAGCTGTTCACCACCTGAGCTGTTCTAACAGCTGTTCACCAGCTGAGCTGTTCTAACAGCTGTTCACCACCTGAACTGTTCTAACAGCTGTTCACCACCTGAACTGTTCTAACAGCTGTTCACCAGCTGAGCTGTTCTAACAGCTGTTCTAACAGCTGTTCACCAGCTGTTAGAACAGTTCAGCTGTTCACCAGCTGAACTGTTCTAACAGCTGTTCACCAGCTGAGCTGTTCTAACAGCTGTTCACCACCTGAACTGTTCTAACAGCTGTTCACCAGCTGAGCTGTTCTAACAGCTGTTCACCAGCTGAGCTGTTCTAACAGCTGTTCACCACCTGAACTGTTCTAACAGCTGTTCACCACCTGAACTGTTCTAACAGCTGTTCACCAGCTGAGCTGTTCTAACAGCTGTTCACCAGCTGAGCTGTTCTAACAGCTGTTCACCAGCTGAGCTGTTCTAACAGCTGTTCACCACCTGAACTGTTCTAACAGCTGTTCACCAGCTGAGCTGTTCTAACAGCTGTTCACCAGCTGAGCTGTTCTAACAGCTGTTCACCAGCTGAGCTGTTCTAACAGCTGTTCACCAGCTGAACTGTTCTAACAGCTGTTCACCAGCTGAACTGTTCTAACAGCGCTCCGAGTTCACCAGTGCTCCAGTCTGTGCCAGTGACTCTGCACAGTTACTGTTAACGAGCGCACCGTAGGTAATGTAGCTGCTGAAGCTAGACCCTCATCGCGGAGCAGCAGAGCCGACAGACAGGAGGACTCGAGCACACAGCTAATATATAAAATGTTAACGCCATGCGCGTCATGATGGCACATAACAGCTTGTGCTCCCCCCCATACCCCAAAAATATTTTTATTGCAAAACTACACGAATCACACAAACAACCTATTTTGGATTAAAAACGTCGAATGTAGCCATAAGGTGACAAGTTTGCATCCTTGCAGCTTGGTGTGTTTTTTTTAGTGATCTTTCCGTCAGGACCAACCCTTGTATTATCAAACCACTGTGGTCGTGTGTTTTGGGGAAGTGTCTGCCGCGCTGTCGATGTGTTCACTGATGGGGTGAGAGGACAGTTCTCGGAAAGAGGGCGAGAGCAGGAAGTCAGAAAGTGACCCAATATGTTTTACTGAAACATACTTCACAACCGCCCGTCTGTCGGACCAGTCGGAGAGAGTCCCGGAGAAACGAAGGATGGCAGGAAGGGACAGAAATATCCTCCTGGGCTTCATGGTCCTGCTGGCAGGTAGGCTGCTGTCAGGGTGTCTATACAGTTAGACTGATCTCTGTCATGTAGGGGGGGGGGGGGGGGGGGGGGGTCAGACCTGCACACAGACATGAAGAACCACTGATCTCTGTCATGCAGGGGGGGGGGGGGGGTCAGACCTGCACACAGACATGAAGAACCACTGATCTCTGTCATGCAGGGGGGGGGGGGGGGGGGGGGTCAGACCTGCACACAGACATGAAAAACCACTTGTGGAGGAAACTTCTGTGTAGCAATGCATGGAGTCACCGACTCAGGAAGGAGACACGGTGAGAGTTGGAGCTTTGATGTCAAACACTGATGGGTTTATTCAGAGTATTCGGCCGGAGGATTCACATCACAAATCAAAGAGTCAGAGGTTCTGACCACACGGTAGAGTTGCCACGTCAATTCTGAAGAGCCTCTCTCTATGCTAGACCTTTTAACAGGTTCACAGACAGAAATCAACATCTCTGAAGGAGTAGACTAAACACTGAATCATCTGCGTCCAATGCTCATGGCCTCAAGGATTTCACATCCGAGAGCCCACAAACACCGATAAAGAAATGCTTCAGTGTTCTCACAACAATTACCATTCGTGCCAGTCAAGTTGACCGGTCTCACACTGGTGACAACAACACATATGGCACCAAGGCCTTTCCTTAGAGGAGATAACATATGTCAGAGTAAAAGGTTAGATATCTAGAAGAATTATTCCTTAACAGTTCCTCTCTTTTTATCATTTTTGATAACCTTAAAACATTAGTCTAATAATTCTGGTCAATACTTAAATCAATAGGCGTCTTCAGATTCGAGTGTGGTCTCACCTTACATTCAATTACATCACAAAGTAGAATAAGATTGAAACATTCAATCACAATGATTGATACAGGCAATCATAATAGGAACAATTATCTCTCATCAGTGTTTGGAGCATCTTTTGTCAAAAGCATAATAATGAACACACATAAAACACAGATACATAATAGCAAAATATTTGTTTTAAACTAATATCTTTTATCATTTAAACCATTAGTTAATGTCATTTATCAAACTATAAAATCAAAACCAGAAACAGCTTAAAGATTTGCTTTAAGGCAATCACTAGTCAAAAGCATTTCAAACTTAGGATCATAAGAGATCCAGCTAAGGCATAAAAGTCACAGTGGTGATTTGATCAATCTGTAATCCACAAAGTTGCAGTGTCCTCAATTTTAGGATTACTTTACGTTTACTTCATTACGCTTTAGCCAAGAGTAAGGCACTTAGTCTTAGAAAAATCAATACATTCATTTTAGTCTGAAAAGGAAAAGTTAGGCAAATATTCAAAGACTTTTGTAAAAACCTGGAAAGGAAAGATTAAACATTCTTGAAACTTTAATTCATACATTTGTAAATGCTACAACTGATCTGTACCAAATTAAGTCTATCACTTATTCTTATTAGCCATACTTACCTGAACATCTACTTATGGTACTTGGAAAGGGTTCTTCTGTGTTTATCTAATGTTGAATATAGAATATCAATTTCTTTAAATTATACTTCTCTAATTTGAGGATCAAATATGCTACATAATTGTTATATGAATTATTATAAATATTTGTTTTGGGCCAAAACTGAAATTAATCCAGTACTTGAAACATCATTTTATGTCTGTCTGTGCATGGGTAATACATTACAGAGTAGTGTTGTTAAGCCTGATTGCTGGATGATTAAGGATATTAACATTATCTGTTATAATATTAGAAATACCTTATTATTCAATACTTTATAATCTGAGAATATTTATTTATTAATTTTGTTTAGTGTGAAAATGTAATCTGATCTGACTAAATATATTTATCACCACTATTTAACACATGTCTGGTCATTGGAAATATAAAAAACAATCATTAATTGTACATCTGTAAACATCTGGTCATTCAATTCAAAGTTCATCTTTGTACGAGAGCTGGAAGAACATGTCCGTCAGGCTTCCTGACTCGTTCTCCTCCTCCCTTTATGACACCGAGTGTCTGGTGTGTAAAGGCATCCTGATACTGTAGATTAGCACTGAGGTGCTGATTGGCTCAAACTCTTCTTCATCAGAGCGCCATATTTCAACCCCCCAATTGCTCTGCTTTTGTGTGGCTCATTCAGTGAGCACTGTAGCTGACCCCCCAGTGAGACGGAGGCTCATCTGCCTGTATTCCTTCTGCTATCTGCTTGAGTACAACTGCGTATTCCTGATGCATCCAGGTGTCCCCCCCGTGATGGGAGAGGTTAGGAAGACATCAAACTCCTCCAAGAAACATGGAACATTGTATTATAGAAGCCTCTGAAACCCTCGCTCGTCCTGCAGGGTTGTCTGCTAGAGCCCACCGAGCAGAAAGATGAAGAGAAGAACCCCCTCTTATCAGAAAGGTGAAGAGAAGCATCCTCTCATCTCGAACGACCTCGTGCTTCCTTGCACGTGGCTGGGGGTGCTCTCTGCACCCGGAGAGTGTGACCCTTGGCCTTGAGAGCTGTCCTAGTTATTGGGTTAACACCTGATAGGGATGTTTTTCTGAGTGAAGACAACTCAAAGTAATGGATTAGCACATTATCATTTAATTACAAAAATAGGATAGGCCCCTCAGAATTATTTGGGAGCCTTCCTGACACATGCACATTATCATTTTGAAGGTTTGTGTTAGTCATTGAACATGCAAGAATCATATACTCATCAGTCCATAGCAGAGAAATGTTATTGTAAGTTAAAGGTGAGCTAGTCCCTGTGGATATAACCCCTTCTCAATGATTCTAAATGTATATTAATTCACCATTTACCTTTTGATAAAATATTAGTTTATCAGAAATATTTAGTCTCTTCCATAAAACATAGGTTTGAGAAATAAATTACCCAATATAAAATCAATTACTCAATATAATTGACTCTTCCCTCCCTTTTCTTACATATGGTACATATGAAATAATAACTTAGGAGTCTATTTAAGCATGGTATAGTTTATAATCTATTAATCGAGAAGACTCAGTATCACCTGTGTGCAGCTTACAAAAAACCATTGTGAGAAACATATATTATGCAGGAAATTGATACATTTGTTGAAAAACAAAGCATATCTGATTTGGGAGGAAAAGTTTCATCCCTTTAACATCTGAGTTATTACTGAAGGCATAGCATGAATGATACTGGGTGTCTGAGGGTGTCATTACTGAGAAATGTCAAACAACATCAAAACCTTACATTTGAAAACAGGTTTGCATTCCTCCACTGAAGGTGACGTTATCATTGGAAACAATAAAAGCTAATTGTTTTGATGTAGAATCTATATATTGAATCGTTAGAGCAGAACAGAATGGTTGTATTGTAGCCTGAGTTTTGTGCAGCCTTCAGTTTTACCAGGTGGAAACATTGTCTATATAATGTGAATACATGTAGAACTAGACATTAAGAGACCCCTGACATTAGGCCTATTTGAAACAATAGTAGGGGCTTTTACCAGCTCTCCCACTTACAGGCATCATAGCAGTATGAATAGCCTTAAAAACAACCCACTCTGCGGTAACGAGAGTCATGTATCTGAACCAAATGCCCTAAGTGAAGCCGTTAGTCTCATCTGACTGACCCAAGGGTTGGTGCTGGTGTGACAGGGAGGCTTCCAAGTGTTCATAGCAGATGTCATGCTTTCAGGTCATGGCTCAGTGGGGGGGAGCAGACCCATGTGAGACAGTATCAACAGCTGTAATGTTCAGTTTGAGGAGTGTCATTCTCTCTGGGAGCAGGAAATGGTGTCCATTCAGACCAGACCATTAATGTCATGTAGAGCAGCCATAGCATCTCTGTGACTGCACTCAGCCGGACTGCAGCAGGGCAGAACTGGGTGACTTTTAGTGAAGCCGTCCAAGGCCATAGACAAAATGGAACCACGTACTAACAAAAGGGACACAAGGTCATCAATGTCTCTCTTTACCTTTAGCCTAAACTAAAGGGAGGTGGTGGCGAAGTCCATAGGGACTTGGCTTGGCAACTGGAAGGTCACCAGTTCAACTCCCGGAAAGACCAAGTGCTACCGAGGTGTCCCTGAGCAAGGCACCGTTCCCTACACTGCTCCCCGGGCGCCGTACATAATGGCAGCCCACTGCTCCTAACACTAGGATGGGTCAAATGCAGAGAAACCGTTTCGTTACATAGTACCTGTACTACGTAATGACAATAAGTTGAATCTTATCTCTTATCTACAGTAATTGTAAAACAAATTAGTGGAAGAAATGTGGAACACTAATCCATCATCATGTGACATTTAGAGTTAATTTAAATAATTATTTATGGGTTGAAGTCAAATTAACATTAACATTAGAACTAAAGTCAGTCAAAATTGGACGTGCACGGATCAGAATCTAATCAATACACCATTTCCCCAGCTCTGTAATGAAAAAGATATCAAGATTAGGTACATTACGGGAGTGATAAAACATCCAAACATGCACACTTATCTTATTCTAGTAGAGATTAGAGGACAGGTCTAATGTTGTGAACAAAATGATCAAGTCAAGTTATTTTATTTATTTTATCTTATGTACCACATTTAATTTAATAATTCATCTTAAATTACTAATAACTTTAAAGAAGGCAACCATTTACAATGTGGATAAGGTGACTACTTATCCAAAGTGTGTGGGTGTGTGTGTGTGTGTGTGTGTGTGTGTGTGTGTGTGTGTGTGTGTGGGTGTGTGTGTGGGTGTGTGTGTGGGTGTGTGTGTGTGTGTGTGTGTGTGTGTGTGTGTGTGTGTGTGTGTGTGTGTGTGTGTGTGTGTGTGTGTGTGTGTGTGTGTGTGTGTGTGTGTGTGTGTGTGTGTGTGTGGGTGGGTGTGTGTGAACAGCTTGTCTGCCCAAGGTTAAAACATTTGGGACAGCAGTGAGAATGTTATGAGAAACAATTTGTTGCTTAGACTGAACTCGAAAGAAGCTGAGATTAGAACATTTTAAACAAATCAAAACACTTGCACATTAATTAAAT